ATCGACAGAGCAGTATGTGTTTTTGACCGAGCACTCTACATTACCGATAGTGTGATCCGCATTATCGACAGAGCAGTCTGCATTATCGGCCGAGCACTCTACATTACCGACAGAGCTTTTGACATTACCGACAGAGTTATCTGCATTATCGACCGAGCATTCTGCATTACCGACAGAGCAATCTCCATTATCGGCCGAGAACCTATCAGACCTAACTCGGTAAAGTCGATAATGCAGGTTACTCTATCGGTAATGTACAGTGCTCGGTGGATAATGCAGATTGCTCTGCCGGTAATGTGGAGTGCTCTGTCGACAGTATAGAGTGTTCGGCTGATAATGCAGATTACTCTGTCGGTAATGTAGAGTGCTCGGTCGATAATGCAGATTCATATACGTTAACTAGAAATTATTTCATACTTTTCATTGCATTTTCCCATACTTTTAAACAATTATATCTGGAGCTAGTGCGTATTGATATAAATTAACTAGAAATTATTTCATACTTTTCACTGTACCTTTTTTGAAGTAGGTTAAATTTTTTTTCCAAAAAATTATTTTATTATCAAAGTAAAAGAGCAATCGGAAAACGCGTCCACTCCAGTAGAATCCTCGGCGAGAAAGAAAGAAATGGCCCCTTTTCCCAGCGCCCTAAAGTAATACATGTTTGATTTCCAATACATCGATTTTTCCTTAGAAAGATTTTCATCAAAATTAATTTCTTTATTTTATGGTTTATATTTTCGTAGTTACGATAAACAACACATTTCAAAGCCATAAAAATACGCAAGTGAGATGCTAGTTAATCTGTGTATTGTAATTACCCAATAAATAAATGATAATTGTAGTTGCACCGCCAACCGTGACAGCTAAAGCGCCACCAATCAGTAATAACTAGGGCGCTGCATACTCATGAGGCGACTTACGTCACAGCATAGGCACATGGAAATCTAGATGAGTTGCATCACCGACTTCGCGCCTGTGGTCAGTAGATAAATTCACGTCATTAGCGATTAATAGATGAATTCACGTGCAACACAGACAGCGTCCCTTGTCATTACAGGATATTGTTCGCTAATAAACCGGTGGCATCAATCATCGTTAGTAAAACGAAACGGTGGATACGCGGTGTTCACGATCGGGAATAAAATACAGAAAGGCAGGTAAATACATCTCTATTAAATCCTGTGGCAATGCTGCACTAACAACGTCACGTAAACACTTTCGAAACCATACGTACGTACTTTTTCAAAAGCGTGACAACGCTTGCAACGTATCATAATGTGTAAAATAAACTATAAATGATATAAAAATCTATAAAGTGCACCAGGTTTTGTCCAAGAGAGGATTTCGCTGTCGAGTAGTGTAATAGTCACGTACAGGACTGATCGTGTTTACGTGCTGAAAAATTTGAAATTGAACCGTGAAATGTTTGGAAATTCATGTGGGCAACGGTCAGAAGCATGGCGTGCACGCGTACGCGCGTGAATTATAATTTTCAACGTGTCACAAATGTTTGCACACCTTCGGCTGCGTCCACGAAAAATCGCGTTAATCAATTTTAACGATTGCTACAAAAATTTTTTATTTGCAAATTGAATATCAAGTAGTTGGCGCTAAAACTTGAAAAAGAATTTTTTTAAAACCGCGCACGAAACGTCTTTGTTTCATTCGACTTAATTTCAAATTGAAAATGTATTATCGTTGTTTAAAATCAGTAGTGGGGTAACAATCAACAGAGCCCTAGGCAATTACATTTTTCGAAAATAGTTATTAAAGTTTATATGCACGGGATTATCTTTAGTAAAAAAATTCGTTTTAAAATGTTTCTTAACTGACACGTTACGTTGTACTCGTTGCAATGTATTGGACACTTTATTAGTAATTACACGTTTTTATGGCTCGTACGTGCGGCTATTACGTCACGTTTGTACGCAAAATTTTTATCCTAACGATCTCGTATATTGCGTACAATATTTCTGAATGCGATCCGTTATAACCGGTGATGGTTCTACTCAATGTACACTGATTGGCGTCATTACTGCACTGTTCAGTTTTTTTGGAGATAAACTGCTTTTCAGGTATTAATCTCTGCATGACGTTTATTTTTTTTTTTTCAAAAAGCAATCCTTGAAAGTACTTTTATAGCCGTATTAAAAGGAATAATATTCTTCTAAATAGTAATGCTTGTACTGACTACCTACGTTTATTTGCTTCTGAAACTCACAATTTTATTTTAACTACAACCAAAAGAATTGTTGAAACCCAATCTATATAAATAAATAAAATATTCGATCCTACGAATAACCCTGTACATTCGTATTTCAACATTTAAACTTTTCGAAGCGTTGCTAATTTACTTCGTCAGTGTCAGTACTGTCGCAGTTAAAAGTAGCGCGTTATAAATAATTCTGACGAATAAGTGCAAGAATACGTAATTTTGCAGAATTTTACTGTCAGAACTCAAGCTTTCCAGAGGTCTTCCGTATCCAAATACAACGACGACGATTCGACAACATGCCGTGGGAGTTCGGAGGTCTGTTTACACGAGTTCGCAAATATAGCCATAGGTATCGGAGCCAACCGAAGCGAAGAATTGATAAATTAGTTATTCCGTCAGTCGCCTGCCGCTGTTTCTCTAGGTACGTTTGATCTGAGGTTTCGAATAATCATGCTTATTTATATTGGCTACCTTTGGAGCTTACCCCATCGTCCGTCTACGTGTATGTACAAAATCCACTTTCCATGATCGTCCTCTATAATGTTCATGATATTCATAAAAAAATGTTAAACTGTTACCGTGTTTTTATATTCATGTATCAGACATGAAAAATTGTTACAGGTTGAAATTTGAAAACTGAGGGACGGTATTACCCAACGTTTTACGGCAATTTTGTATGACATCGTCGAGAGAAAAATATATTTTAAACATCATCCGTTATTTATCGCTTGTTAGGGATCGCCATACGTTGTAAATTGCGCGCATTAACTCCGGAAACCTTTAATGGAAGGCGTACCTGGCTCATTTATCATCGGATAACAGTTCCGGAGTACATCCTTTGAATGTAACTCTACCCATGGGTAAACAGAACTAAGGGTTATGACCATTCCCGTTTGTCTTTGCATCCGGAATCTTCGCACGAAATCCCTCGCCAGGACCCAATTAACTCCCTAAGAATTCGATCCTATCCCATGGTAATACCAAGATAGTGCGACTCCGACGCCAGATTAGAAAAGACAATATTTGCCTCGGTGCTTCTGAGTCTAATCGCGTATATTGCCTCGCAGATGTGCCTTCACTTAATGTCGGTTACTGTTTGTCCTCCCTCGAAATTGAATACGGGAGTTACAGAAATCCCGAAGGTTCCTTAAGACTCGGTTCGGTCGCTTCTGGGATATCGCACGTTCGATGGAGGAATTTTATTAGACGATAAAATACCGTCTAAACCTAGAGGAGGATTAAACTTCGTTATTTTTCGATACTAGGTTTGTCTCCTTCGTGATCCTCGTTCGGTATGAGGTGCACTCTCAAGGACTATGTTGAAACAGGCGTGAACGCAATGCATCTAAGGATCTGTTCTGACCGCAGGCCTGTATCCGCAGCGACGACGGTTTGAATTGAAGACTTTTGCGGATGGTAACTCGTTGGCTCACGCGCTAACGTATTTGCAAGATCCGCTACGCTGATGGACATATAATGCGACGTGTGATTGTAGGCCCGCCAATCGCGGCCGATTGTGCCTCTGAAGGCCCGCTAACTATCTCAAACTAGCCCCATTCAAGCTGCCACGACCTCTCTCTATCCATCTCTATCCGCCACCATACCTCTGTGTCTCGCTCGTTCCAACCCTCCGCACCTCGTTCACCGCCACCCACCACCCCCAAAGCCCATACCTCTCGCTCATCCCTAACCTTTCTCTCCCTTGCACCCCGACTCTCGTCTCGTTTGCTCCGACTTCGCAGCGATTTTCCCCTCCAGCACGGTAAGCTCTACCTCCTCGTCCTTTCTGGCTCCATGTATTTCTTGCCGCACGTTTCTTCCGCGCCTCGTATCCTGCTCTAATTTTCGACCAGCTCTTTCGCGGCACACGTAATCTTCCATTTTATTCGCTTCATCCTTTCTAACGCGTGATTCCTCGCCCCACGAGCCCGGTTATTTTTTCTCCGGGGTACCGGCGAGTGTTTTGCTTTCCATTTACCATCCCTTTATCTCGCTGAGTCTATTCACCTGCGTTCTGAGGTTTTCGCGATTTCTTTCCTTTCGCCCTCCTAGGAACGAGTGTGCCCGATTGGGAACCTGATGAAAGAAATCTCTGTAGAGTTTGTTGAAAAAGTTATATGCGATTTGACTATGATCATGTTGATATCGCATCCGTTGTTGAGTACATGTCTTCCATAAAAATATAGAAAACATATTGCGTCCCATTTTAAAAAATGAAGGGGACATTGATATCTCGAAATCGCTTCCACCCAGAAAAGAATAATTACTGTCACCTTTTTTCCCCTCTTGAAATTGATTACTTTGTGTCAGAACTATTTTTCAATGCGACTTCGAATTTTGTAGACAATTGCGTCGGTCACCGTATAAGAATCACCCTGTATATTCTTTTTATAAGGTTGTAAAAGTAGAGTAAAATTCACGTAGTAGATGGTTAAGACAGAACTGTGGGAGAGTAAGATCTGTTCGTGGGAGAGTGAACCTCTCTTTTACAGGGCGTTAGGGATGTAATTTTAAGATCTTAAATGTTTCAGAAAATACACTTAATAAAACAGACGATTTTTCATCCAACCAGGAGCCTGCTTCAACCCGGTTTCCCATCGTTCTTCGATTTGTAAATTCATACATTTCCGCGGTGCTCCCACTATTTTCGTTTCGATGCCACCCTTCCCTGGGTCGCCGCCTCTTTTCCCATCGTTAACGCTCTTCACCCGTTTGATTTTCTCCGTCCTCCTCTACCCTTCATGGCCCTGCTTCATTTTAAGCGCTTCTTGAATCTACTTTCTCCCTCTCGCCTCTTGGTATTCTCCTCTTCGTCTCTTCTCTCGCACGGGCATGAATTCATCTCTTTCAGCAGTCATCTCCGTCGGTATCCCTTATCCCTGTTCACCCTCTCCGTTCGATCCTCGCTTCGACACAATCACGCGCGGTTACATAGGTACGTTCCACTAGGCGTCGCCCGGTATTCGTCCCGATTCGAATTCTCGACCCTATATAACCGCTGCACGTTCTACGTGGGAATTTCAAATCTATCACCGACCCAGACGAATGCAAATCGCGCATGAAGCGCGCTTAATAAAGCCCCGCACACGGCCCGCAACTCGCAATTTTCTTTCCGAAGCTACGTGTCGCGCGCTCCTCTTAATGAAACCTTCGCATGCACCTCGTGCAATTCGCGGCTGCACCCGCATTGAACGCACTGCGTTCCCTCGAAACGGGAAAAAAGAAAACACCCGCGTGTCTTAGTCGGGATCGTTAAGCGTCGACGGGAGGAGAGAGAGGCGATTTTAATTCCCTCGCGGAAGGGGATCCGCTTGCGAGACTAGTGAAAGAGGTTCCAGTTAGGAAAATGATTTAAGGGAGTGTTCTAGCACTTTAGAAAAATCTAGACTTTCTTGCATTTTTTGGGGGGGACGTGGTACGTTAAAATGTTAGTAATTAAAATATTTTTAAACACAGGTAAAAGAATACGTTTATTACATAGGCATTGACCATTTAAACGATTTAAGTCATTTTTATTTTCTATCAAGCGTTTGATCACCTAATGTTTACACATCCGAATTGTTTGTACTAACGATTGAACCGCTCCTAGTTCCTTCAGCGTCCCTTCATCCAGGAAATCTGCGTGCCGTTCAATCGCATCTGCGCACGTTGAAGCGTCAGCGCAATAACTATCGAAGCATATGGATCGATCTAACGATCGGCGGCGTGAACAATATCGAACCTGAGGGCGGTGCTTTTGATCAACCGCATTTCAGGCAGGCGAAAATTGAATTTCCAGGGAGGCAAGTCAAGAGGTAAGCGAGGAGAAGCGTACCAGCTATTTGCGTGGCCTTAATAAGGACGTTTGACGGCGTTGGCTTTCCCTTAACAAGCCGGCTAATATCCCGGGGCCTTGGCTCCTCGATGTACTCTCTCTTTCTCTCTCGAGTCGCTCACCTTCCGCGCGACGGACACCGTCGAGAATCACCAAAGCTTGAAAACCGAACAAACTCAGTTAGAGAACTCGGTGTGAGAACCAACCGAGGACCGGCCGGGTGATAGAAACGCCAAAACCCATCCTTGTCGTTTCCCGATTCTCTTGTACGCCTTGCTATGCTCGATGTAGCGCTGTCTCATCTTGTATGATCATTAACGACCGGGTTGCGTGTAATCATACCAAAATGAGTCACAGTTCACTTGAGTCAACTGCGCTCCTGAAGTAACTAAAGGGTCAATTATTTAAATCAGAAACCATTTGTCCTTCTAAGAAGAAGTTTAGAATATTTACGAATACACTTAAACAACAGTACTAATACTTTGAAAGCTACTCATGCAAATTTCATGAAAAATCTGTGGTATTAAATGCACGGTGTACAATAACAGAAGTGGCTCGTGTAGTTTGATACAAAAATTTATTTCTTCTACAAATTATAAAACATTACACAAGTGTTTCTATTCTAGTAACTGTCTCAATGCGCGAGTACACAAGGAGAAACTTGCCTTTGTTTGTGCATTTACCTAAATTGAATAACGACTTATCACTCGCTCTACGAGATTCCTGCTGAACAAAACGTGTATACTATTGTCTACATTGTATCTACCTATGTATGAATACTGCAAAAGGGACCGAACCGAAAGATGACTTCGCGATCGCTTCAGGCGGTTTGAAACCCCGAGCGGAATCGTGGATGAAAACGTCATTTCAACCATGGTAACGTCTTCAGCAACGCGCGGAAATGATTTGACAGTTTGTTTAAACGTTCAGCGAATACTCAACTTCGGAACGTGGACTGCATTGTAACGCCATTGGGGAAATTTTCGCTTCTCTGTAACAGAGAAAGAAGTACTTAAATGTTATTCACATTAATATATGATTCTTCTGGAACGACAGTAGACAAAATACCCACTCGTTTCTTTTTCAAATCAGCTAGTAAGAGACTCGCTGTTGCATGCAGATCACTAGGTCCAGCTACTGTTGCAGTACTGTCGCAAGTCTGGTACTTTGGCTTCGGTAATAATCTAAAATATACAAATGCTTGCACTGGATCCTTATGTTGCAGTTACGTTATTAACTTACGGGTAAATTATCGGTGAGAGTAATTTTTTGTCGACGGAAGAAGGATCCAATGGACCAGTCCACCAACTAACGAAATTACCTACGACGATTACAATTATCGTGCCCAATCCAGTGAACCAATGATACGATAATCGATACAGAGGAAATACATTATCTTCGCTGAAACAATCAAATACAGAAATATTGATCTTTAGACGTGATAATTACGATTAAGTTTAAGATCGACTTACTCTGGATGCTCGAACTGCTTCAGGAAACTTTCAGAGATGTTCGCTGGACACTGAGAAAGGGGTACCGGAAGTTTCTTTGGGACCAATTCGCCGGCACCGATAGACCATTGCGCACCTAAACTGGCCCAGCCAGCGACCACGAATCCTACAACAGCACCCGCAAGTGCGCCCTAATCGACAGAGAAAAAATAATATAAATCAGATTATTTTTGCAAAGAACTTTTCATAAATTATGAAAAATTTACTTTGGCGTTTGTCCACGGGAAGAGGATACCTAACGTGAACACTCCGAAAGAAGTACCTGCTGCGATGGCTGCTAGACTTCCGGTAATCTGCCTCGAAACAAACGAAGTAAAAAACTGCTGAGTATTTACTTTCCAAACAAAAAAATCTGGAGATGTACTCACGGCTAAGACTCCTCCCAATTTTTCAACTAAGAATAACAAGCCCAGAGCTATTGAACCGAGAATTACAACAACAACTTTCACGAAGATGAAGGAACACCGTTCGCTCAGCTGCAGACCGAAGCAACCCTTCACGAAATCTTCCTGGAGGACGACGGACGTTGAATTGAAGCCGACGGAAAGCGTGCTGAAACGATTAGTAGTAATGCGTAACGCGTTAAAAGGAAATTGTTATGAAAAATGGTAAAAGTGATGCTTACCTGAGAGCAGCTCCAAAAATGGCGGCGATAAAAAGGCCTGGTACTCCGTGCAAATGTCCAGCGATTTCCATAACATAAGCGGGCAATAATTGATCGTCGGCAGTGATCTGACCAAGAGCTCTGGGGTCACATTTTGGTGGCGCCCACCAGGCTAGAAGGATAAGGCCGCACCAGCAGCACAGTGAAATGAACAACATAATGCCGATAGTGGATATTGCTATGGCTCTGAAATCATGCAGATAATGGCGCACACATAATTATCCAAAGACGATTAAGCACGATCTTATCGTGACAGTCATGGTAATTACTTAACACATTCGCGACAGTTTACGTGAATTTACGTCACTTGAAATTCTATTCCTGGTTATGACAAAATTATGAAAATCTTTTTATGTTATACACTACATATTTACAACAATGATATTTCAAAACATAGTTTGTGCGATGTCCAGCTTCAGATTTTTATTATTTTTACCAGTACTTGGTATTAAAAACGTAAAACATCTGCCGATCGCGAATGCGTTAATTATATAGTGTCATTATGTCTATTATCGAGGCACGTTACGTCCTATTTTCGAGGTATCGACTCACCCTTGAGTGAACCTGGTACTCACTTACAGTTTGGATGTTGCCAAATCTTTCAGCGATTTGTACCGTTGTACCGTGGTTTGATTCACAGCTACATAAGCAGTGGTATACAACCAGGAACCAATCAACACCGTCCACACCGTGTGCCTTGTGTAAGGAGATGGGTCGAAGCTACACAAGAAACAGAACAATAATTAATATATTCGAGAATCAAACACCGCGAGCTGTAGATACTTCTAACCATGTCTTACTTCAAAAACTCGATTCTATTGGTATTCGAGGCCTCCTTCCATATTTTTGCAGCGTCAAGTTGATAGGTGCCCAAAACGCAAACAGTTAGCACGCCAAAAATCATAACTGCAACCTGCATCATGTCCGTCCAAACCACCGCTTTGATGCCGCCCTGGTAATCATTCTCCGATCAATTTAGATTCTTCTAGTTATATTTACTTATTTCAAATAATCTAATCGTTACATTTCATACATTTTTAGCGAGTGCAAAGATTTTGGAATCACTTGGCTGGAGGCGGAGATGCCGAGGACACCGATAATAAACAAATTTACAAAGAGTCACTCGACCGCGATAAATTTTCATTAATTCGGGGGCACAACAAATTGCTTGGATAATTACAAGCGCGGGAGCATGCGATTAATCACTTCGGCGCTGGCTTTGTGATCTGCTGCTACGGGAACGAGCACTCGACGTGCTCCACGCCATTGTTTCCGGCGGGCCATTGTCGAGGTTTCAGTTTCCGTCCATAAACATTTCCAGTAGCCGGGTCCGCGCGAGAGATTCTTCGCGGCATTGTCCACCGAAAATTGTTTCCTACAAGCAACCAGGCGTCCTCCTGCCCGAGGAACTCGAGTTATCCCCAGGAGAATTCGCCGAACGAGGGACCTTGGAAAATTAGCTCGCGTACACCTAACCCCGTAGCTCGACTCACAATCAGCCCCGTACCCCCCATATATTTCATCGTTGATACGTCTTGTTAACTTCTTAAGCCCCGACAATGAATCCGCCTCGTCATCATCGCTGAGCGTTCATAATGATACACGTTAAACGCTTAGCGGCTTCAATGTTGTCAGATCATCGTTGCAATTACCATACATTGCTCGTCAAATGTCAGCGATCATCCGTCTTGTTTTTTATGATGCCACGTTGATCCCTTAACTTTTTAGTGTATCTATCTTATTAGATATTGTTTGGTAGCGGCTTAGGTGTCCAAAGTGAGTCCAACGCAAAGTGAAACAAAATGGTTTCCTATCGTTTAACTTTCAGTGACTTTTATAAGAAAGATTTGCATACCAGATGTTTGTAACAAGTCACCGTCTAAGCAGTATTAGCAGACGAAAATGAATATCTACGTTTTGTATGTATTTTGCAATGCATAAACTTACTAGGACGGTGTAGAACACGCACACGTAACACATAACGGTCCCGATCAAATGCACATCAAAGCCGCTCACTGTAATTAATCGCAGAGATTTTAATAGTGCTCGGTTAATGCTCACTATGAATAATATGGCCACATAATACCTTGATTTAGCGCTAACGCTGGAACGTAAACCACGATCGATTGGTAGAGAACCTGAAATTGGTTTGATATTACATTCGAGGGATTATGAGAGTAGTTACATGACCGTTCCTAATGTTATTTGCACGCAAGGAAAACTATCTAATTAGATACATTCAAAATTAAGTGATTTTCACGGAGGTACAACTAGAATAAGCTAGAAAGTGAGGTGAATTTTTAATATATTTCTGTGGTCTTGAATGTAGTTAGAGGTAACGGTATCGAATAAGAATATTTTTGAAAAATTGAATTTAAGCGTTTCGATAAGCCACGTTCATTGAAGTTTCGCGTTTCTGTCGCGCAACGTAGCGTGACACAACTTTGCTGTAAACGAGCTCCCTACGAATTAAAGTCAATGATGAATTACTTTCCTCAAAGTTTTAATGTGTTTAACGTGTACGTCGCGTTGCGAGCTTTGTATTCAAAGTTCATTGACACGTCCTTTAGTGCTTACCAAGTCAATAACGAAGATCAGCGATATGAGTGTCCTTACTCCGCGATTGAACCTTATCTCCAAATACTAAAAAAAAATTGGGATATTAAAGGTTCGAACACCAAAGAGATAAACTAAAAGAATTTTCTTGTTTCATTTTATATGGTAAATTGGATAAACGATACCTCGTAAACGGAATTAAGTTGCAACTTGACGAAGACGGGGGCGTAGATAGTGGCCACTACTACGCCCGAGAAAAATATAGAGATAATAGTGATCCAATATTGGGTCCCAAAATTATATATCTCAGCCGGTGTTCCAAGAATCGTTACGCCAGATATGAAGCTATAATATTATTCATAAAATATATGAATCACTAATTTAGATATTTAACTTGAAACAATGTCTGAGGGCAAATTATTAAGTAGTTTGCTCAATGTATATTATTTTATATTTTTCCTGTTTTTATATGCGAGAAATATCAACACTCGAAACTCGATTAAGATACCTTGCGATGAGGGAAGAGCAGACGGGAAAAAGTGTCATGCTCTTTCCTCCAAGGAGATAATCTACGGTGGTCGACTTCTGTGCTTTTCTGTAATGCCATAATCCCGCGGCGGCAGACACGACGAGCATCAGCCCGAACACCAGCCAATCTGCCCAATGAAAGTATCCTCTCTCAGGCATTTCCTCCATTCTGGCTCCGAGAAACTGGAAGCGAGCGAAAACTTGATTTACGAAGCCAGATTTGCTTGATAACACAGATAATAGCAGTAATGGAAGTCAAGTAACACGGATGAAAGCTTAATGGTTCTCGCCATGATACGCATAATGGATCTTCAACGAGCACACATTGCTTTTGCTATTATTATCATTCCACGCGAGAGAATGGAAATATTTGACCATCGAAATAAATGTGATGAAGCGAAGATGGGCGAAATTTTATTCGAGTAATAAAGTCACGAATAGAAACAACGTCTTACGATTTATTCACAGAAAAACCAAGAAAGGTAAACAGCACTCTTTTGCTCTTTTTACTCTTTGAAGGGTGAATGACGTTTAATATAATTATAAACTACACAAGCTATATTACAGAACGTTTTCAAAAATTTAAATGCAGGACATGAATTCATTACACTGTTCCTTGATCAAAAGTAGAAAACCACGAGTCTTTTCGATTCATTGTACATATCTGTGCACCTAAATACATATATACTCTTAATTGGTACTTGACACACGACCTTAATATGGTTCGCAGCTGTTAGTATTCCAATACAGCTCGTTAACACGATAAACTTTCCGAGCGCGACAGAAAAAGCTACTCGGTATGCTAGTAAAAGTGTTAGTTTATAATTATTGCCCTCGATATAGACTGCATTTATTTAATTTATTATTCCTCCATTTACATATAATCAATTTAATAACATTTTATACAATAAGTACATTCCTCTCTACATTGTTTTAAACATCAGCATTAATAACATCACCTTAAATCAAAGCTCACATAAACATTTATTTAGCTGCAAGTTATAAAGTTACGTTTTATTACTCTGAATCAATATAGACGCAATCGTTAACACACAGAAGTTAAAATTATACGATTAAATATGGCGCAATTTTCATTAGTACCGACCGTGTGTCACAGGTGTCAGCACTACGCAGAAAACAATCACCACTCGACAAAGTAGAGTAAACGCCATACACGAGTAATGTAAATTGCCACAGGTCAGTAGACCATCCGAGTTGAGCAAAGTGAAGGATGTTGAGTGAATTAATGAAAGACCATTCCAAGAATGCGAACGATAATTGCACAGCGTCCATAACAGAAGATTCTTGCGTAAACATGATACGCTAGGGCCGTAAGTTTTTGTATTTTACTCTGTTCCAAACAAGGAATTCTTGTTATTCGCCAACGTTCTTGTTGAATTCACAAGTATGCAACATAAAGAATTGTCTCAAGTTTAAACAAAATAATTTACTTGGAAGTTTTCTTCGTAAATATTCTAGACAATGCATCAACGATTATTCGTAGTTCAAAATTAAAAGTTAGGTATTCTTTGTATCGATTCTTTTATAATTTCCGATTAGAATGCAGACAAATGTACGCGATGTAATCGAAGTTTTTTCTTATATCAACGAAGATATGACAGAAATTAAGGAAATGTGCAAAACCATGTAACGTACCATTACTTCTTGATATGTACTGTAATTATGATAACATATACAGTATTTACTATTTACATTGTCCCTATCAAATATCTCACTCTGCATACAAAATGTAAAAAAAAACAAAGCATGCAAATAAAGGGCGATTAAACATATTACCGACCGATAATTATGATGACATTAAATATCGGCCGCTGGTAAACGCATACTCACTGTTTGGTTTTATAAATAGATTTCTTTATATTTAGTAACGATGTCTAGCACACTGTCACGTTTTTGCACTCAAAGTTTTGTCTTCTCTGATACGATCACCACATGAGAATATCACGACCACAATTGCTCCATGATCTCCGGAAATGTTAATTGTATTTCTGTTGAAATCCTCTCAATCTTGATCGACAATCGGTAAGGGAATACAAAACAGATAATTTTCTTCACGTGTACGTTCCGACGTTACGATTCCTTTTGTTTGACTTGTTTTTATTTCCTCTCAAACTATCTCCCTACCAATTCGTAGTTTCAACGGATACTGCCCCGAAAGCAGTTCACCTCTAGAAAGTGATTCGTCATGTGTTCTCGTTTGTTTTTAATAAAAATTAACCGGATACATTCCTATGTATTGTCGTACTATGTGTACTTACATTGCTTCTTATTTCTCTACTAGTTATTTAAGAACTTTATTATCATTATCTGTGATTTTTCATATTACCAACCTCGTGTAGATTTATAATTTCAAATTGAATAAAAACACATTCACATCGGCTCATTAAATGCCAAATCATGATTGAAAATCATTGTTAGAACTGAATTAGCAAAAGACATTCTTAAAGATATAAACATCGATAACAAAACATCAGAGACATTTGAAATGTACATACATAACGACTGTTAAACATATGAATATAATTTAAATAATTACATTATATGACTGTATAAAAAATTGGAAATTAATACTTGTCAAATGGTATTCATTTTATCAGATACAAATTTATTTAAAACATTTATTGTAGAAAACCGTTAAACCGTCATTGGCACGTTGTGTTTTCACCTTTGGTGTTTGAGTCACGATTCGATGTTAATATTTGGAAAATATTGACTAAGTTATCGATCGCGATCCTGATTTATGCAAAAGATGACACGAACCATCGACAACGAACACGAATAATCGTAACGAGAAAATGAATACATACTTAAAGTATCGGCGCACTCATTAGTATCGTCTAATGTAATGCAGTGACCTTCTACAATCAGAATATTGTTACAAAAATGTAAATACGTATGTACGCAAATAAATACAGTCGAACGAAAGGAACGTCACGGACAGCTGTCTACCGTGATCGACAACAGACTGTCGTGAAGTTCGAGTCCCCGCATTGTGGTAACCGGTTTCTCCGATTTAAGCTAAACTCCTCCAACCAGAGCCGAACACTCAGCACATTTAGTCAATAGGTTTTGTGCAATCAATCGCTAAGCAAATATTAAATTTCATTTCCTGTTCATGATCTATGTACCTAAAATCAAAATAATGTAGTCAAAAATATTTCATTGAATCGTACAATCAGGAATTAAATCGTAATAGCCATGTTACCGGTTACCCACATCGATTCGAATGTGGCGAATCGGTATCAAGAGATCATTTAATTGATGCCTTAAATTTATATCTACATTTCAAATTGGAATAACCTCACTAATCCACGTAATCATGAGTAGCAAAAATAATTCCCTCTCTCCATTAGCGTATACATTATTACGCCATGTTGATTTTTTTTCTGCCTTGATGGCGTATATTACATAGTAAAATATGGCAATAGTTATTTTTCTCAATGATTGAGTTATTAGGGATTTAGGGACTGGAATAGATTTGGTTACTAGTAATTTGAGGAGTATTAATTAAAAAATTTGAACGTAATATTTACAACAAATTATATTATCATTAATTATAGAGAATTACAAACATTCGTAAGACAACGATATACAATTAGCTTTTATTTAGGATATTCGATCTAAAAACCGATTTAGTAAAAATTTGTAACATTGTATGGTAAATACAATGTTGTTAAACTTTGAATATTCATCGCTTACAACGTAAAAGATTCGATTTATTCGTTTATGATTGAGTCATCGTAATGGCAATTGTAGTACTCGCATTCCTTAAACGTACTGCACTGTGAACGTATTGTATTCTTTGTTATCCGAAGACACAATACCTGTTCATCGTCGAATTGAACGGAACACATTGCATTTTAAATCGGTGTGCTTTTCTTCTCGATCACAAAATGTGAAACTTTTCAAAAATTGGAATGTATTAATGCAATAATTCTAAATAGTTTGAACAGTCGAGAATAATGTGTTACTTTCTTAACTTTGCTTTATTTTCGCGAACTATCGTAATCTTAACGTAAATTGATGATGTTACATTAGGTATGTAATCAATGCACTGTACGCAATACATTCAAAATTACTTTTATAATTCTCAACCTTCTGTAGTTTAAGAAGCTTGCAACGAAAAGAAAGTATTATATTTGTTTCAATCGTAATATCGCGTAATTTCACATTCAAAATTTATAACATTCATATATAAAAAGTTTATAGGTATTTACCACCACACTTTGGTGCAATGAATATTGTATGAAAACTTACAAGTACAATGTTCACCTTCATTATACTATTAACAGTAACAGTATATCTTTAGCATTAAATATAACTACTAATTAATCTACTCAGACGTACAATATAAATTTTATCCCGCTTTATGCTCAAATTACGTGAAAGCAAATATAAAATATAAAAAAAAAATACATTACTTATTGTGTTTATGGAAATATTAAATTGCTAAACGATGTTGCAAATGATAGTAGTAGCTACTGCTTTTTCTTGTCGTGTGATGGTTAAAGTGCTTTTCTTTATATTCTCACGAGATAATGGAACTTGTGTCGTTTGTAAATATTGCCAGATCAAGGTTTTAAGATACGAACACGTTGCTTGCGGAATACTAACATAATAACCGTGAAATCGTGTAATAATTATTTACTTATTATCTGTACATACTCACATTGCATATTCAGTTTTCTATTTCACTTTGCCTAGTAATACTTACACTCAATAATACATACATACCACATACTCATATACATGTATTATATTGTTCCACAAAGAATTATTGGTATTATTAGTTTCTGTAATAGATAGAAAGTGTATCACTGATACAAAGTAGATAACAAAATGTATATCTATTTAAGTAATGATCTCTCAATGGTGATTTAATCAGTCTTTCAAAAAATATTGTTTCACGTGGAAATGTACTGACGCAATCCATAAATTACAGGCATAATTACACGTGTAATCAATATACTCTTTGTGAAACAAACAAAAATTTGTTATATTTAAGATTTCACATATATTTAAATTTAAAAGTGGAATATGGAAATTGTGTTCTAATCACAGCTTTTGATGTCTTCCTTCTCCAAACAGCCATAAACAGGCTCTGTCAACCATATATCCAAGGATAAAGTCTGCTATTAGAATTTGCACTAAGAGTGTACGAAACTGTAAAAAGTAAATGTTCCATATTAGTGCATTGCAAGATTTGTATACACGTTAAGTTGCAGTTGAATCAGATTCGCCGCTCCGCCTCGAGATACACGTATTTTTATTATTGGCGGAGCGGCTCACATCAGAAGTTTACCTCGCGACAAAGAAAGCCAAAGAGAAAGATACGAATGAGAGCAAATGACAGTTGGAATGCATTGGCGTAACAGTGAAATAATACAGCGATCAAACAATTCAGCAATCAACTACTTAAGTTTCCCATGTTTGTGATTTTGTTACATCTTACGTTGCCGATGGCAACTTAACGTGGTACCACGGTACATATTCGATGTATGCTATAATATTTGTAGTCACTTACATCACTTGGAAAATCTACAATTTCGAATTGTGCTGCTAACACAGGTGAAAACCCACATAATCCTAATATAACAGCTGCACTCCCTATAAGACTGTATAATAAAGATTTATTCTGCAATAAACTTTCCATATATGGTTGACCCTGTAAAGTAAAATTACATCGAATTAAAACTAAATATACCTAATCTTTGTTGATATAATTACTTAGTTTTATACTTTACCCGATAATTAATAGCAAAAGTAGAAACTTGAAGTGCCATAGCGATAATGTAAACTGTACTGTTTATTAAATTTGCTTCGAAAGGTTCATCCTCATCGCCGACATTTCCATTTAACGACATATTTTGACTGGCTGAATTATTTGGAGCTAATATAGCTGCTAACTTCTCATTCCTTGGAGATAATATAGTTGCTTCTCTTACCAAATACACAAGAGATACAAAATGCAAACCAAACTGAAGCAATACAGTGGCTATAGTGTACAGATTAAAAATGTTTGGAAGAGGTCTCTGTTTAGACAACGTTTTCAACGGTTTCGATCTTGAAATAAACAAAAAGCAGGTCGCTAAAAGAACACCCTGTAATGTAGCTTGCGCGTCACTAAACTTAATCTCATCTAAATAGAGAACAGATTGGCTATATGCAAGTCCCAATGCATTAATTGCCAAAATTTTAAACATCTGCAACGTCGTGACTAAAGTACACCGTCCTTGCTTGATAACATGACAAACTGCAATAATACATGGATCAGAATTACTGATTGCTTTAAAATCACTCTATAATAATGAAACTCACTGCATTGAATTGACGACATTTTGCTAGTGAAAGGTGCGGCAATTGAAGCATCTCCAAGTTTAACAATAATAGATTGTTCTTGTTCCTCGATTTCCTTTAATAGTTTTTGTATCCTCATTCTGGTATTAGCGGATACTCTCGAATTCGTTCTGGGACCATTAGATATTGTTGAATTTGAGATTAGGTTTTCATTCTTGTTATCTTGCTTATCTACAGGCACTCTTTCAGGCGGACTAGAAAGGATTGCAACCCCTAACGAAATTAACTGATCAGTATGTAAGCTTTCTATACGTGCAGCTAAATTATAAATGTCAATAATCGACTAACCCACTTGAGCATGTTTCAAAGCACCAACATCATTAGTACCATCTCCGCACATTAGAGTTGTATATCCCAAATTTTGTAGGGAAACAATTATAAATTCTTTTTGTTTTGGTTCACACCTTGCGAAAATTACAATGTGAGGTAATAATTTACGGAGAAGTTCCCGGTCATTATCTTTTAAATACGTTAAACCCTGGAAATTATAAGTTAAAAAAGGGGACATAAATTTCAATTAAATGACTAATGAATTAGTGTAATAGTTCGGGACTTATTATTTTACCTCTCCAGTTAGACAAAGAGCGTATTCGCGCCAAATTTCATTACCTCGATCAACATTTTTGATACCCATAGGCAAATTAATTTTTCTATCTACGCTTTCCCACATCCACTCTCCGTCATAGGCAGCCAATATTAATGTGACTGGTTTTTTCGTAAAGTGTAACTCGCGACTGACATGGCAAGCGGTTAAAGGATTATCGCCAGTGATCATAACAACCGAATGCGAAGCATTTACGATCTCTTTAATAACAGCCTTAGAATCAGGTTTAAGCGGACAGCTTATAATTACAAATCCAGCAAAATTAAGATTTGTTTCTAAATTTTCTCGCGTTAGCTCTCTAAGATCTTGCGATGATAAAGGACCAGAAAGTTTTCGATATCCTAAAGCTAGCACTCTCGCCCCACGCCGAGATAACGACAAATAGGTAGAGTCATAATTCTCTGGTACGGATGATAACTAAAAGAAAAATATTTACGATGTATTATGGGGAAAAAACAAATTCAGATTTGTAATTTGTTATTCACCATATTTTTAATAATTTCAGGTGCTCCTTTTACTGTGGACATGTAATTAATTTCTGATGACCCAGGTGTCGTATATCCCGCTACGACTGACATTCGTTTTAACGCGGAAGAAAAGTGGTGTCTCTGTACTATTTTTAATACAGGGGATTGACCTTTTCTTGGTATCATAGAATCATCTAATATAAAATTAATATTGAGATTATTACACAACTTTTATTTAAATTTTGAAGATTATAGTAAACTCATACTCTTTGTGAGTGTCCAGTTAATAGCTTTCAGTGTAGCTTTTTCAAGCGGATCACCAACGATTCCGTCATCTAATTGTACAAGAGAATGGCACGTTGCAAGTACTTGAATACTTTCTAAAGGCGCATCAGAAATTTGCATAACATCTGCTTTCCCCCTTTAATGATGAATAATTACTTTAGCCTAAGCATCTATAAATGTTTCAAAAATAATTATTTCATTCTTACTCGATTCCCGCTATACCCTCGACGACCAAGTTGTCGCTAGTTAAAGTGCCAGTTTTATCAAAGCAACAGATTTCAACTTTTCCCGCAAACGGAATTCTGAAAGGTTCGGTGCAAAATACACCTACACGAGGAAAACATTTGTTGTTATTCAAACTATTCTAGTATTCGTGCCCCCTATATCCAACGATAAGGAGTCAAAACGAAAACACGAAACGTAGGGTGCAGAATTAGTCATGTAGGAAATGCGGTCGGCTATGGATCCGAGGATCGAGAGTTCGGATTTCCGTGTCTCTTTTTTCGTTTAGACTCCAATATACATTTCATAAATACCTAATTTTGACAGGGCTAGTAAAGATGTATTAACAGCTAGCGATAATTCAATAGGCAATTCTGGTGGAACAACCGATGTTAGAATAAGCGTACATTCCAAAAATAATTTATATCTGTTTCTTGTAGGATCCTCGCTTCCTATAAAACATTGATCATTTAATATTTTAGGTACTTACCTTTATATCGCGATGTTACTTACCTTTGATCCATACATATGTTGCTGCAGCAATCGCAAATATTAATAGAAATAAGATAAAGCCAAACGTTTCCAAATTATTGGCCGTAACGCGCTTAACCCCAAATAGTATTGTCCTCAAAAGTTTACCCTGTGATGTTGAAAATCCCGTACGTAATACATAGGCCACACAACCATTATCAGGAGCTAAAATTTTAAGTATTCCCACATGTAAATGCATACGCGAATAAAATGCATTACTGGCGAACGTTCTTTCAATATTTAAATAAATACCTTTAAGGCCGGATACGTTTTTACTGGGTGAAGTATGTTGTACAACTTTTGTACCTCCAAATAGTACATGAAGCTTATCATCGCCCTCTATATCCAACTGTCTATCGTCGATATCTTCTATCGGCTCTTTCATTTGTGGAACAGACTCTCCTGTAAATTTGTAATCAAATTATGTAGAACGAATTAATCCCGCGTTTTACCATTTCCTTTATAATAAATTACCTGTTAGCATACTCTCGTCAATCACGCAAGGTCCTCTTAAAAGTAACATGTCACATGGCACTAAATTATCATTCTGAGATCTTGTTATTGATACAATATCACCAGGTACTAACTGGTCGGTGAACATCGAACGCCATCGCCGATTTCTATAAACCTTTGATAAAAATAATGAAATCATGCAAACCATTTTTGAAAAACTATGTTTTGCCTCCTATGTATACTAACCATTATCATGTATGGCTTATTTCCCATTTTTCTGATCTCAGCCATATTTCGAAGTTGCTGCTGTACAAGTGTGCATTCAAACATAATAAGCATAATGAGTGTAAAAATACTGTAATACCAATATTTATCTAAACACCACAGTGCTACACAGAACACTTGAAAAACAAAAAATGGTGCAATTGCTCTTTCTTTGAACAGTTCCTTAAATTCTGGCACCACCATGTCCAAACTAAGGCAATAGAAAATTATGAAAGACAAAGTCAAATTTATAATTATAATTTGTAATTTTTCCATCTATATAATAGAGTGCTTACTTATTCTTGCCATATTTCTCTTCTGCTGCTGTAATCTCTTTTTCATCTAAATATCCTTTCCATTCGCAATAATGTTTAACAGAATGTCCAGTTGGAAACTGAAGGCCTTCAAAGCATTTTTTATGTTGGTTCCAATGATACTTTGTCTTTTGAAATATGAACCATGGCTCTTGCTGTTCAGAATGGAACAGCTTAACAAGTTCTGAACTTCCATTGTTAGGGGTAGGTACTACTTTTGCTACTTTTGCTTTATAAGGATTTTTCTCCTGAAATGATTAAAATATTTATTGAATATCTTGCAGAAGTACTAACAAAATTTTTTTTAAACCAGAGATTGGTAAACTGCATTTCAAGAGATAGATCTGACCAACTATCTACCATTGGATAACCCATAAGGTAAAAATGATTTTTAAATGAATTTCATGACAAAATCACAAAATTAATGCTTCACTATCTTCATAGAAAAAGTTTACCGAACTCTGCTTTAAACTATATCATTTAAACATTCCCGCCAATTGCTCATGTAACGGAGCTAGCAGAAGGCCGGCTCGAATGGCTGCCACGTTAACGGAACATATTGAACGAACATAATTTCTACACGTAAGTGATTCAATTAATGGACGTGTTATATTGAGATGAAGGAGACGTGAACTCACCGAGCTACAATTTAGAAAAGTATGTATGTGCACTGACCACTGGCAACACAAACATATGAAAATCTGTAGCAAGGCTATGGCTGCAATGCCTACTAAACCCGCGTCATAGTACTCGTCAATTCCATAAACAAAGATCCAACAATAAATCCACAGTGCGTGCAGTAGCACGGATGGCAATATGTACCCCGTGAATAATAATTTTCGAGGATTATGAAGCGTGACAGTTTGCACGAGTTCGTCTGTACGCGATGAAGCAATAGTCGCCATGGCTATGATTACAATGCGCCGTAACAGAGGCGTATGGATTTAGTACAAGAGATTCGGATTCCTTTCACATGAGAAAACTCACTCAGCAAACGATATACGTAACAACTACATCACGTGAATGGTCTTCGAAATATGTTTACCCCTTTCACACCTTTCCACGGTGCTCTATATGTATACTAATTTACGGTAATGGGACAAAAATGAATTTTATGAACGCTGTTACAGCACCTCGCGGCAATGACTTGAACTATTTTGTTGTCTTGATAATGCATTTTCTAAAATTATAAATTCAACTATTAGAAAGTTTCGAGAAATATGTAAGCGTTTACTCTTACTTCAAAATGGATCGTATTAATAGAGAGTAATTTTCCCAAATAAAAACAATTGTATACACATAAGTTGCGATAAGAACAGAAAGCGTTATTCAAATTCGATGTAATAATGCGTACAATTAAACATACAATTCTTTAAATGATCTCTAATCTTTATCAGTAGGCAAAAAATGTAGGAATTAGATACTGTTTATATTTACAGAATAGATTATAAGAAAGTACTGAAAATGAATTAAATAAAAATGTTAAAGTCCAATTCCGTTTTGTTGACTTTTAAATGACCGTATTCCAAGTTATTGTTAAATGATCGATAAATACAGATTTTAATGTTACTAATTGATAAATGCCTTGCATATAAATTAAAGCGATGACTTGCGAGAATGGGAGACCTCTATTGGTGTTAGGACAAACTGACAATGAGGCAAACTATCGGCAAATTCTTGTGCTCACAGTCAAGCACAGTATCTTTTTTAAGGTTACTTTAATACCGTACTGTTGCAACACCATTTACACAAAGTTCTTAGCTCGATAAGCATGGTATCGATAATAAAAACTTATAATGGCTTTCAACTTTTTAACAAATGTCTCAAGCTAAGGTATGGAAAGAAAGCACTACATAATTATTATCCCAATTTCTTGATACATTCTTAGTACACGTACAATGTTTGTAAATATATTATTGTTCGAAGAAAACAATTTGTTATTTACATATTTATCGTTCGTTGTAACATTCTTGTTAGTTAACAAATGTATGATTATTTGTAATTAGTGTTGACATAAGGGTACCTAGTCGTAACAGACGACCTCCTATACCAAGGAAGCGTCATCCAGAATGGCTTCCAAGACCAGTTCATGCTGTATGTATTCGTAACATCAAAAACTAGTTTGATTTTTTTGCTGTTTTATAGATAATATATAATATTGCTCTCTTTATTAGCATTATAACGAATCACTCACATCGCAAAACAAAGAGTTCTTGTCAGAGTTTATAGCATCAAATCGAGGACTTTTGAATTCTACATCACCATTATGTTCAGATATAATTGAAATATCTAAGGAATGGACTCCTAAGTCCCAGCGTACTGGCTTAATTGGCAAAAAAATTGGAATATATCCAATGTGGTTAAAAAATGGACAGAAAGTATTAAGTACATTAATACAGGTGCTGCTTGCTATTGTGATCAAATAGAATTATCTTTCTATTTCAAACAATTCCACCAAATTGTTATGTATCTCATTTATTTACAGATTGTAGATAATGAAGTTGTGAAATATATACCACCAGAAAACTTTCATCCAGTTATCTCTAGGCGTAAACAAGTTAAGACGAAAAAAGGTTGTCTTGTAGTAGGTGCAGTAAATATTGATCCACAGCTAGTAAGTTGGCATGATTTTTGCCATTTTTTTCATGTTTCTACCTACAACTGACATTCAATGTTCGTACCATTGATTTTTACAGATTACTAAGGAATATTACGGAATATTTAATGCAGCTGGAGTTACACCAAAGAAAACGCTAATGAGGTTCATTGTTTCGCCAGATGCTGCTCTCCAACCAGGAACTCCTTTGTGTGCAGCTCATTTTAAACCAGGAGAATATATTGATATTAAAGGAAAAACGTAAACGTTTTAGCGATACTTTAATTCTGTGTTGGATATCTAATCGTCAATTACAATATTCTTTATAAATGTAGGATAGACCGCGGCTTTCAGGGTGTTATGAAGCGGTGGGGATTTCATGGAATGCCTGCCACTCATGGTGTAACGAAAACACATAGAAGACCCGGTAATATAGGTTCCGGAGGTGCAAAAGCTAGAGTAATGCCTGGTACCAAATTGCCTGGGCATATGGGAAATAGCTGGCGTATTCTCCGAGGTGTAAAGGTACATAATAATATTAGTTAAATAGTTCAATTAATATTGAAAAGAAATTACCGTGAACAAATATTTTTTGCTTGCAGGTACTACGAGTAAATACCAAATTTAATGTGATTTGGGTATTAGCTCCAAATATACCAGGAGAAACAAACACCATGTGCTACTTGTATGATACGGTCCTTCCATTGAGAAAGTCACAATCGCCGCATTTTCCTACATATTTAGGGAATATAAACGAAGAATCACTCCCTGATAATTTGTATGCTGATGATGTATATGTGTTCGGTGATCCTTCACTCGAATACACACCGGAATCATAAGTGTAATAGAATAGTAAATAAATGTTTTTGTTATGAAAATCCCATGTTTTCGAAGGTGTTTTTCTATATAATCGAATATTCACGTGAAGGTTACGTTATTATCATTACATTAATTATTTCACGCATTCGTTCTTATAATAGTGCCTAACGCTCGACGGTAGGTGGATTCAAAATTTTAAAATAGTGGCGCTATCAGTGGGAAAATGCCCAAGTTTATCGCTAAAAAAGTTCTAACGTTCAACGCTAGATGAAGCCAAAATTTCAATAGTGGTGCCATCTAACATTGAGCGCTAGAACTTTTTCAGCGAGAAACTTGGGTATTTTCTCACCGATGGCGCCACTATATTAAAATGTTGGCTCCATCTAGCGTTAAGCGTTAGAACTTTTTTAGCGACAAACTTGTGCATTTTCCCACCGATGGCGGCACTATATTAAAATTTTGAATCCATTTACCGTTGAGCATTAGGAACTATTTTGCGTTATACAGAGTGTCCCAAAAGTCGGGGAGTAGCCAGAAATGGGGGGTAGCTGAGACGATTCTGAACAACAATTTCCTTTGCAAAAATGTCGGATGGGGCTTCGTTAAGGAGATATTAAGCGAAAACCCTGACCAATCAGAGTGCGCGTATACCGCTGGAGCGGTCGTGGTAGCGAAGGCTACGCGCTGACGGCCGCGCTTGTACGTGAACAAGTGATTCGACGTGCATCGAAGGACATTGACGCTGCCGCCTAGCGCGTAGCCTTCGCTACCACGGCCGCTCCAACGGTCTACGCGCGCTCTGATTGGTCAGGGTTTTCGCTTAATATCTCCTTAACGAAGCCCCATCTGACACTTTTGCAAAGGAAATTGTTGTTCAGAATTGTCTCAGCTACCCCCCATTTCCGGCTCCTCCCCGACTTTTGGGACACTCTGTATATAGGCCTTATGTGCTGGATTTTAGTTTGACCTCTTCATCGCGTATGATTCTTATTATCAATAAATGAATAGTATTACTATGACTGAGAATAATTCCCTTTAGCCCTCAGGGGTTGTAGAAGTGTTTTTTGAAGCTACAGTGCGGGCTTAGCAACCCCGAGGTACCCGAGCTAGAGGGGAGCTAGTGGGCCCCAATAGATGAAAAGCCGAGCTATAGAGGGGCCATTGAGTCCCCACAGAGATGAGAAGTTATGAAGTATAATGTTAAAGTGGCCAGCCACAGTGAAGAACGATGTAAACATAGTTTAGAGATATTGTATTATGCCATATTGTTCAGTAGCATTTACTAAAGACGGAGAAAATTAACTAGCCGTGCAATAACCATCCTTGTAATGATTGGCCACGTAAATAAAGATAATGACAACAATGATAATTCCCTTTAACATAGTTCTATATATGTTTACTTCCTCTTGCATAAAATATTTACACATACACGTTCTCTTTTAAAAAAATTAAAAACCGTTTATCAAAGGCAGTTCCATTGTTTTTCTTTTTTAAATACAGTTATTGCGCCAGAACACTTTTGAATATGTTTACGAAGGGTATACGTCGCACTTAAAGCTGCAAATGTATTTATATGAAGGATTATAACTTGTATATATTAATAGGAGCAATTAGAATGTATAAAAAAAGGTACCCAGTTTGTTCCAACTGTGGCACCACGCGAATAGGGTCCGCGCGGAACACGAACGCCAGTGAAAGTATATCGCTCACGTACCCCACCCTGGCCAACGGTGAATCGGAACTCGTGCACACGAGCACTAGGTAGGGGTACCAGACGCAGGTATGGGTACAGACACGAGTGACCTGCGCTGCTATAGGCAGGTGAGATCGTCACGCGTAAAATCGCGCGGGTCGAACCTTGACGGACCTTAACGTCTGGACCCAACGGCTCTGGGACACATATAAACCAGTGACAGTGCAGCGAATGACCAAAGTCGCGACACACCTCCTCCACGATCTGTCAGTGACGTCCAATCGTGCCTTAACGCGTCGTTTTTTCCGCGGTGTTCAATATTCATGAATCTCTTCCTCCGCGACGGTGTGCCATTGTTTACCGTTTTCCAATTCACTCGCACGCTGCGCATCGTCCAGGAATCTTCTCCTACGGAGGATTACCGTTTTACCTATCTAACTCGGCCTATTCAGGGCGCGAAGGGGGGGGCAGAAGTGTGCAGGATCGTGCAGGAAGAAGTAGAAATTGAAGACTTCTTTCTGTATTAGGATCAATTTGAGATGGAGACCTGTGCGCTTTCAAGGTACGCTGAGAGCCCTGTATAGTGCTTTGAATTCAGTATTGTGAGTTGACAATCGAAGGCATAGTTTTGAGACAAGGGAGGATTTCTATTGGGATGGCTTTTGGGGAGTTCGAGGTTTGAAGCTCTTAAAGCCCTTCATTTTTCTGACTTGGAGGCTTCAAGTTGGAGAAATTATAATTTGTACTAGATTTTTTTTAGAAACAAAACTTGAATTTTTACTAGATTTTATAGCAAGCCTTATAGAACTTCCAACCCCTACGATAAAGTAAAGAACACAGAACATTCTTAACGGAATAGAGAAAACGACGACCATAATCCATAAACGTGTAGGGGAACTCCAGGGTGACCTAGGGGTTGAATCTGAAGTCCATGAATAGGCTCCCGCTAAAAACTAGGTAAAACGTTAATCCTTCCTGCGACCATGTGTGTTGCATAGTCTGGCATCCAGCTCTACCTGTCAACACCTGACTCGATGATCACGCATCGCCGTTTCCGCGATTCGAGCAGCTTGCGTGGTGCATCTTCTCGCGGCCGCCGACACGCGTGTTCTGAAACGGGCAATCGCTCATCGCGTCACGGTGGATTCGTTCCACGGGACTCGGACAACGTTAATTATGTGATTTAACCGTTACGTTCGTATCGTGATACCTGCCCTCGCCATCGAGGACGAGAAGAGTGAAAGAAGTGATAAACTCAACTGGTTCAAGCGGCTCTAGCTACTTCAAAGACTTGGAACGAAGATGAGGCACTTTTTAGGGGTATCGATCTTTGTAAGTAGAAGGTTCTCTTTGTGAACTTCTTAATGCAATTAATTTAACTTGGTATTTTAGTGTTTTTCGCATCACCAGACGGGGGGTGGGTCTTCTTCGACAAACAATTGTTATTCGTATAGGTGAATAGAGCTAAATGCTTGAATAATTTCAAAATCTCAATTTCACTGTTTCAGTAGCCAATTCAATTTCCCGTTTAATTTTAATGGAGCTTCATAACAAGATTACCTTGGGGCACGAGTAGTTCAAATTCCAATTTTTCCAATTTTTCTCAAGTTTTACTAGAGCCTCTTACCAAAGAACTACCTAAAATATAGTTTCTGAAGATCTAATCCATACCTGGTATTTCACCCCAGATACTACAATGCGTCGCGTAATTATTCCCAACGTCAGCACCAACGCTATTTCGCCACTCGGTACCGTGAATCATACTTTTACTATCGAAACGAAAGCGGAGGTATTCGAACGAGTTCCATCGTGATCCAGAGATCGGTAATACGCTGTGTCATACGATGAGTCAATTGAAAGTGGCCTAAGAAAGCAGTAAAACGCCGCTGCACCAGGATATTACGTCAGACACCAGTCCGTTTTAACCGCCTGGATCAGATAATAATGGTGGATCGTTTCAAAATTCCTAGCTCCAAAAATAAACCGAACAGATTCACGAATAGCGGCACCTACTTATTTTTATTACGCGATCGTCACGATAACGCCTCGATGAGTTTCCTTTATATGTCGAGATCCTTATCGAGATACGTGATCAACAACGCAACGCTGCCATGAAAATATGAAATTTCATCGAACCATTTTCTTCGATGAGGGCTTGGTAAATTTAGCATATCGAATTCGATTTGTTTCAAAATAGAGGGGAAAGTCTCTGTAATGGCAGAACCTAGATTATTGCAGGGAATTGGGACTGGAAGCCGCGCAATTATCGAAGTTCCTACGGTAGGGCTACTGCTCTCACTTTATTTGTTGCTTAGTGATCACCACCACTTGTCGACATTAGCAACGATTGAGATTTTTCATACAATAAATGAGGTTTTACTAATTTTATAAAATTCATACTTTAGGTTAGGGCCTACAACTAAGAGCTACTACGTATTGAATTGGTTACCTAAATGCAGGAATTAAGTTTCTACTGCATTTATTACAAACTATTGTTATATGCACGCTTTATTACTTTTAGTTTGCGGTTCAGATGCTTGATTAAATCTTCATGCTCTATTTGATCATGCGAACGGCATCTGTTTGATTTCAGATATGTTTGGTGAACGCACACGGCGAGCCCTGTCTCGAGTACGGATGTCCAGGACGACCGCGGTACGAACTCTTCGTTCCAGCGCCTCCAGGGCACACTCCTAGTTGCGCAAAGCCTGGACAAACGTTCTGTGAAAGTCTCGATCACTATCCTAGGTAAGAAGCTCGATCCATTCAAACGGGAAGCTAATAAAAAGAGGAATCCTGCGGGTCGTATGACTCACCCTCTAGAAACTTGGGCTCTACAACTCTCGCGAGTTTCCAAAAACATCCAGACGAATTCACCAAAACGAGATCCACCGTTCCGCCATTGATATTCCTGGCCACGTCGTTGGTCCAGTCCCTGCATACGAATCAGGGTTTCAGGAAGGGAAAGTCCCGAAATTGTGTTCTCGATATCCTGGAAATCGTCGCGCTCTTGCGCCATTGTGGGCATGTGTCTCGCACTTGATATCTCTGTAACTAATCGAGGTACCAAAAAACCACAAGAGCAACTTTTTATTCCTTTCAAAGTATACGAGATTTCTATCTATAACCCTCCACAGACATTCAAACTACTAATCTCTTGAAGTACGAATTTTAAATTTTGAATTTCTTACAACAAACATTTTTTTTTTTTTTTAAAGAAGCAAACATATATATATATGTCAATGTCCTTCCACATGTTAAAGTGTTAACAGAAACAAAAAAACAGTCATTTTTCAGTGTAATGAGCACTATCATTCGCACCCAAGTAACTATAAACTGTATCTAGAATGTGTGGGAGTGCACAGTGTGGT